ATGACTGGGAAGGTCAAAGGTGCAATACTCCCTCAGGCTTTCACCTGAAGCTATATGCTTCAGGCCCCTGACCATCTTGGTTATTCTCCACTGGACCCTCCCCAGATTTTTTTTTAACATCCGTCTAGAACTGGGAAGGAACTTAATCTGTGGGCCAAATACTGAATTTGGCCTGATGTGAGGATTGCCTGTTTGTGATGAGAGGATGCTGCTAGCTCCCACTTAACTTGTTATCCATGGCTGTCCCCAGATCTCTTTGAGCAAGACTGCTACTCAGACAGTTGTTTCCCAGTCCGTACTAACCATATAATTAGTCCACACCAAAAATAGGATTTTATTCTTGTTGGCTTTCATCAGATTTCTGTTGGCCCAAAAGGTGCCACTGGACTCAAGATCTACTATTTGTATCAGTCACTCCTCCTTATTTTACATCCTCTAAAAATATGAGGAGGATATATTCTGTCTTATCTTCCACTTGTCACCAGTCACCAGATACTGAGCTTGTCACTATCCCTTTGAACCTGGTGGTCCATGCAACATTCAAATTTAATATTTTCACACAGGACACAATTCCTCAGCTTCCAAAAAAAATGCTACAGAACAGTGTCAAGAGACTTACAAAAGCCTTTCCTGCTCTCCTCCTTTTCCTCATCCACACTACCTTCTGTCATGAAATGGCTGACTATCAAATCAAACTGTCTGAGAATGAATTGCCCTTAGTAAATCCATGTTCACTTATCCTGATTACCTTCTTGGCCTTCACATGCTCAGAAACAGACTCTGAGAGGTCATGTCCCATGATCTTCCCAGTTACTGAGTCTGAGCTGCTCAGCCTGTAACTCCCCAGATCCACTTTCTGATCTTAAAGGTGCATGCAGCATTAGCTTTCCCCCCCCACAGTTATCAGTGACCTTTCTCTACAACAATGGTTTATCACAGACAGACACTTGCCTCACTATCACAGCAAGCTCATTTACGACCTCTTAGTGAATCTTATCCCCTGGAATGGATAGCTTTCAGCTTTAAGTGTTCTTGAACCTATAGCTTCTCCACTGTTTCCTGTCCCTCTGCTTCCTCAGCTGTGCTGATATGCAGAGGCTTGGGGTCAGGTTTTGCCTATGAAGACTAAAGCAGAAGTGTTAAGTATTTCAGTTTTTTCCACCTCATTCACCTGTAGAACATCCATCCCATTCAACAATGGGCTAAACATTTTGTCTGAATTTCCTTTAGCTGATGGAATCCCTATTTATGCTCCTTGCTAAGTTTTAGCTCCAGCTGAGCTTTAGCCTTCCTATTATCATCCTTGACAGCCTAAGCAATATTTATACTCGTCCTCTGTTACAAGCAAAACTACACTGGGGAAAGGTGTGTGCAAAAATATAAGTCATCTCCAATACAAATCCAAAATGCGTACGTTCACTTTTGGACAATTAGTAAAGTAGGCTAATTAAAAAAAGGCAAGAGTTTAGCTGTTTGTGTTTCAAAAACTCACTTTGTAAAGAACAATTCTAAATTGAGAAAATAACAAGCTGTGATAAAATATAAGAGCAGCATTTCATCTCTTATCTCAGCAATTAACATTTTTATAAGGTCCCAAGACAAAAGTTACTGAAAAAGCATTAAAATAGTTGAAGAAATTCCAAAACACAAAAATACTTAATTCTTTCCTCAAAACAACACTCATTAGTTATTTAAACAGATCTATTTTCACTTTCATGGGATCCCTTCAAACATCATGATCCAAGATTTGTGTCTCCTGCAGTGCCAGATCTCTGCTAGACACAACATAGTGGATGTCTCAACTGCTACATAAGAGTTGCCTACTAAATCTACCTGAGACACCTGCAATTAGCTTTGCCTGTTGTACCCCTGAGGTGCTTGCAGTCTCACCTACCCCATGTCTCATTCTGCAGATTAAAAGGCTCACTGTGCTCATCCACCCTTTTGCTAGCCCTCTGCCTAACAAGATGACAAATGGCAGAGAGGGAAATTATTTAACATCAAAGCTGTCACATTAAACAAATTGTCACTTGACCTCAGCAAGCAGTTTGTGTGAAAGAAACTGGCACACTATTTCACCTGCATACACATCAGACTACGAACATAGAAGAAAACAGTATCATTCCCATGTTTTGTTCTTCAGAATTTTTCTTTGCCTTGACAGACCACTGAAGTTTGTGCTCAAAAGCTTTGCCAGTATCTCAGGTTTCCACATCATCTTAATTAATTGAAAGATAAACCGCTTTGCTGATAATTATAATCCATGGATATTCAATGAAGTGCACTGATGGTCATACTAATTCTTCTCGGAAATATGAGTTATGCTTTATCTTGATGCAGTAGTTTGTTTAACTATGTGGGGTTTTTGCCATTGCTTGCTTAGGGTTTAAAATTGCGTATCATCATCTTGGTATTTTGAAGCTACTATATTGCTAAAGTCCACTAGCTAAGTCTCAAAATTCTTACAGGGCTAAAACATCCTCTGAACTAAGTGATGTTGAGTTTTTCTTGAATTACACAGACTATAACACAATGCATTTGTCCTTCCACAATACTGTTAAGACATCCAATTTACATATCTTATTTTACATATATAATTTATCCAAAATATTCCCACCTCTAAGTCCCTGGTACATGCAACCCACTAAACAAAAATATACATAACAGTGAGAAGTTCAGACAAACCAATGAAGGGACGAAAGGAGCAATGATTCCACCAACACGGGAAAACATGGAGCAGGCACCCATTCCAACATTCCTAAGAAGAAAACAAAAATTGTTAATCAGTGACATTTGCATAGGAGAAATTATGACTTTTGAAAAGTGCCACTGAGAAAAAAAACAAAAACAAAACCCACAGTCACAACTCTGACCACATTAACTGGCAAAGAAAAGTCAAATGTAACAAAGCATGCCAAGACAGGAATTAAAACACATGATTTGTGCTTAGAGAAGCAAAAGTCCCCTGCACATTCAGAATTCTAACATATATACACATACAAAGAGACAAAAGAAAGTACAATTTCAGTCAATGCATCTTGTCTCTTCCTGAAAAAAAGAAAGTCTAAATTCCTTTATCCAAATCCTATTTATCAGCAGATTTGCCTACTCACGAAAAACACCACAGTATAGTTTCCCTGGTGTCTAATCATCAATAATAATACATGGTTAAAATAGATATTAAAAATTGCACCCATATGATAGATATTTTTGTCTACTTTGTCAGCACAAGCATGAGGGTACTTCTGCCTTAAATGAGAGAAACCTTACTATTGTTTACATATGGCCTATAAAGCATCCAGTTACTTTTACAAAGCTTATTGACCAGTCATCTCCAGTGTTGCTGGTTAAGCAAGTATGAATGTTTAATAGTCATCTGGTTTATAAAGCACTGAAACAGAGTTAGATACCCCTCAATAAAGAAATAATCAGCAATACTATTGCTATCCTCAGTGGAAAAGGTGCTGTAAGCATACCAAGAAGCCAAAGGACTATTTTACTGTTAGAAAAAGAATAGTTAGTTTGAAGAGAACACTGCGAATCTGAGGGAAGAGCAAGAGACGAGGATAAAGGAAGAAGTTTAGCATATAAAACTACAGATAATAATTTTATGTAACTGAAAAACTCAAATGAAAAGGTACAGTTAATAAAGTAACAGAGAAGTAAAAGGTGAAGAAAAATCATCTTAACATTAATTTGTGTTACCTGATCACTGTGGGATAAAGTTCTGATGTGTAGATGTAGACAATGTTAAATGCAGCACTGATTGTCAGTTTCCCCAGCAAAGACAGAGAGTGACTATTTACCACTGCAAACACTCCAGTATCTGACAATAGAAAACATGACCCTTGTAAGGCTTTTGGGCTCTCAAATACAACTCCATAATCACTTCAATCATACAACAGTATGGAGTGAGAAGGAATCTACTAAAAAACCTGCTATGACAGTGAAGTGTGTTTCTGTCAAAGGACAGTATTTCTCAGAGGCAGTTTGTACCTTCAGGAGAACTCTCAAAATTCAAGAGAATCCAAGGAGCCTTCTTTTAGGCAGCAATGACAGGAATCACCCAAAGTAATTTTATATTCTGTGTTTATGGATATATTACCTTTATCCATTCAATCAAATTCATACAAAGAGGAAAACTCTCCATGTAACACACTATGAAAAAAATAAGTGATAAAATGGATTTTAAATTCATGGCAGACTTGCCACTAGCCCCAAATGGTTTCCATTCTATTAAATATAATCCAACAGAAAGTGACTGTGTTAAATGACTGAACAGTCCCAGAGACTACAGAATGGAACTATCACTCAATATCAGAAAAAAGAGAAAATGAGTTGTCCTTTCCTTGTCTTCAGTGTAACAATAAGCAACATCTTTTAAGTGTTAAAATCCTGCATTAAGGCTTCACTAGAACATCAAATTTTAGAAATGCAAGATAAAAATCCTATAAAAATATTAAAAGCTGAAACTACAAGCAAACATTTTCTGAGTCTAGCACTAATAAAATACTAAACTAGGTCTGTCAGCAAGTTGAAGAAAAGAGATACATTTTTCAAAAGGGAGCAAGTTTTTTTTAGTAAAAAGAGCCCTATTCAGTGTCAATTCCATAGTATGATAACAGCTTCTAACACTATTACTTTGGAAGAAAAATAAAAGACAGAAAGATGCTGTAAAGAACCATACCAAATATCCCCTCAAGCTCAGTTTTGTCAGAATGGCCAGCGCTTACTCACTTATATCAGGCAGAACATGCATTAAATACCTACCAAGGAAGGCTACAGCATAAGCCATTACTGCTTTGAACAAATCATGCTCAACAGAGACAGGTCCTTGCTTCTGGTCAGTTAGCCATTTTGCTTCCTAAGGCACTTTGCTCCTGCCTGACTTTGGCAGTTCAGCACACAGCTGATTTCCTGGGGTCTCACAGTTCTATCCTCTGAAAAATCTCTCTCTTTTCACATGTTATATTGGGACTGATATGCAAAAACTACTTGAAGACTGGTACCAGCCTAACCAGAATATCTCTGAACATCTGGGCTCTAGCATCTGGAATACTTCTGGAAACTTGAGCTGCACCCTTTTTAAAAAAAGCTTTACCTGTTAGATTCATTGTCATCTAGAGCAACTTATGCGTACTCTCATCATAAATGTTTAATCTTTTTGAACCATGCCTCAAATGTTTGAAGCATTTTCTCTCCTTATGACAGATGGAATACATGCACAGATCTTAAAAGTTGAGATTAATTTATGTATCTAGTTTTCAAAGGAAAAATTGCTCACTGCGCAATTTTGTTTCTATCATTTTAAAAAAATCTGAAAAAGAAATTAACATTATTGTGTCTTTACAAAAAAGACACTTCATTTCACATTTCTTGAAGACTCCTCGCTTCAGAAGATTTTCAGAATGCTCCCTGAACTATAAGTTATGTGGTCACATTGCTAACACCACAATCACACCTCACACAGTGAGGAAAAGACAGATTCTTAGGATCTTTTGAAATTGGTCTTTCACCCAGAGACACACATACAAGTTGCATGGGTACTACTTAGATTGACATATCATTTGGCTAATGGAGATACTCCAAGAAATCATTTTTTTGGATTAAGTCAGAAACACTGGAAAGGAGCAACTGATGCGATCAGAAGTAAAAGGTAGAATCCATAGTTCAAATCCAAGACAAGCTTTCCTTAAGATCTTAGGAAGGTTGCTGCTTATCCTTTTTGCTTCTCTGGCTTCAAAAAATGATATGTACATGTGGTATGAGCCTAATCTACTGGGAACCATTAATTCTCAGGCTGTAGGATACCATATTTACAACTTCTCACATACTCCAGGAACAAAAGGAAATATTTACCTTTCTTTTTAGGAAGAAACATGACAATAAGGCAAGCCAGTCCTCCCAGAAACAGAAACGCACTCAATGTTCGCTTCCGACCAAACCTGATGTGTAAGGATAACAAAGATTTATTCTGCATTAGATCTGTGGTTTGCAGAGCAATGAGTCCTCTAAATTCACATGTCTCTATTTGTAGTTGAAAATTCTGAATGCCACCTCCCACAAACACTTCCCCTCACACTGTTATTAAACAAGCTTCTACTGCAGTCTTCACAAAATGAAGAGCAAAAAGTTGTTATGCAGTGGCTGACGATTTCTAGGATTCCATTTTGCTTCCCACTGCTTGTGCACATTTGTGAAGTTCCTCGGGAGACATGTAGAGAAGAGACTGGAAGGTGAATTCTACAAAAACTGGAAGACATTGTCTAGAATATCATGGTTCAGGAAAAGGCTAAGTATATGAATCAACAGCTCCAGTCACATCATAGTGCACACAGCAGCTATTAGATGAAACCACACGATAGCTTCCATTGAGTTTAGTTGCAATAGCTCTGACATAACAGTGAGAATGAGGACTAGAGACAGAGGTGGGAAGAATGCCATCTTGTGTTAGCATGGAGTCAGCACAGCTAGCTTCAACCCAGACAGGAAACAAGCCTCAACTCTGAGCCACATTTAGACCACTCATTACTATGAACTACTGAGAACAAGTTAAACTGTTGTTATTTGACATAAAGAGATATCATCATCCTCAAATAAAAACACATTTCCCAGGATAATATAATGAAGTAATAAGCAGGAAGTCCCACACAACAGGCATTAACTAGGAGATGCAATATACAGGAAAACTATTTTTGAGAAAAATATTAACAAAACAAAACACTGAATGGGTTAATAAATTCCATACTTACCACTTTTGGTTAATCAAGTAAATACAGATTGGGTATGCTGGGATTTCTATCAACCCTGAAAGGGCTAAATTGGCATAAATACTTCCACCTAAGTCACCCACATTAAGGGTAAGGCCATAGTAAACCAAGCTGCACACAAACCTGCAAAGGACAGAAAAAGAATAAAATCAGAGCTGCTGCTTTGCCTGCCAAATCAAACCACTGGTCTGGCATGATACACTATCAACTATATTTAGTGTCTCAGATGATAGGTCTAAAAATGTTTCTGTACAAGCGTATAATGCCTTCTAGGTAAAGAAACCAAACAGTCTCTGCACAGACCAAATTCCTGACATTATTCAGTTAAACTTAAGACTACACTTAAGAAAAATGTGCATAAACCAGAATAAAACTAAAACATGATCATGATTGTATTATTTGACTTGAGAAATTATGTCTTTGTCCTTTATGGTTTTATCAGATTATGCTTTTGTCCACACTTTTCCAATTGTGTGTAAATCCTTCCTCGAAGGTTCAGATGACACTTCCACCTTCTTTTAATTTCTGCACCCTGGTCCAGTTTTATTCATTCTCCAATTCTGATTTTTTACTTTTCTTTTGTAACTCTGACTGGCTGTTGTCTTTACAGAGAAAAAAGGAACAGGTCACTAATTAATTCTGCTGGAAATCAGCAATTCTCATTTAAGGAACAGAAAAATCAACTATTCTGCAGTAAGCATTCGGAAAAGCAACAGAAACACAGTTCTGTGTTGCCTGCTAACACGATAATGCCATTTGTTTTTCTCTTAATCAATATATCTTCCCCAAATGTATGCATTGCAAAAGCAACTATGAACAGTAATGCCAGAGGACTCACATGCCATGTCATACATGAAGTTTATTTCAAAATGGCAGCAAGAGACCTCAGGGTTAGCAGAGCTCTTTGAAACAAAACAGGCGCTTTTGGAGAGTTAAATTTCTGCTAGTGACTAGAGGTAGCACCATGGCTTCTTGCTCCTCACTACAGCAACTGCTAGCACTGGAAGCACTTTCTCTTAAGAAAATAAACACACTCATTAGACAAGGTAGGCCACCCACCTGCTAATGGGCTCCTTACACACAAAACAAAGAATAATCCATGTGACTGAAAGTACTGACACAGCACTGGGCCAAAGAGGATGACAGCATGACTAATCTCAGCAGCCTCTGAGGGTCAGAAAGGAAGAAGTAGTTCTCAACTATTTTGAGACTCAAAAAGCATGACAAATGCAAAGATAAAATACCTCAGAACTAAACTGTAAAAATGGCTTCATGTTAGAAATGCACTAAGGAACTATTATAATACAAGGATCCTTTTTAGGTACAGCGTCCCTAATCATACAGGCTGAGACCAAGCGCAATCCACAGGATGAGCCAATTCTAAGCATTATGTTCTCTAAGACTTAGAAAGGCAACAATAGCACAGTTGGGCCTACAAAGTATTTCAAGTACCAGGTAAACATCATGATCAAGGTGCGTCCCAAGAGAATCTTGTATCGGAACAGATCCAAGAAGCTGCCAGCCTCTCTGGGGCTCCTCTCTGCCGGGAGTTTTAATGAAAAAGTGCACTTCTGCTTGCGGTTCCTCTTTGCGATGAGGTAGAGGGCATCTTCTGCCTCATTCAGCCGGCCTTGTGAATAGAGCCAGCGAGGGGACTCTGGAATGAATCTGAAACACACATACACACACCGACAGCTTTAGAGCTTTTCTCTATGAGGCTGGACTTGTATATGGAAATAAGGCTGAAATATGTTTCAGTATAACAAAGAATTTTTCAAACAACCCTCCAGGTACAGAATTCACTTACTGAAACAAAGTAACAGAGTTGAAAGGAAAGGGAACATAAGTTACATGTAATTTAGATACCAAGAAATTGAGTATACACATACACAAGCACACAATACCACAAATTACAGTATCATTAGGTCTCTCTTAGGATAATTCAGAATTAAAGAAGCACCACATTACTACAAGTAACCACAGGATGGTTTTGTATCACTAACTAGTTGTCTTCTGTTCTTAATTTTCCAACTTTTTCCCCAAATTCTCTCCTGTAGACAGGAAGGCAGACATGCTCTTGCTCTCCATGTGCACTCTTCACTTGATAGGTCTGTAACTTCAACAGTCTACAAAAAAAGTCATCTTCTATTACTTTCAGATTCCCAAAAGTAATTTAAACTTCAGTCTTTGCCAGAAGCTTTTTAAGGTTTTCCCTCTGAGGAGAAGTGACATTTTCCCTTTCACTTTAAAGGAAAATGATTCTGTGGTTTTATAAAAGCAAAAAAGTAGCTTAGAAAGGAACAGTTTTCTTCTGCATGATAAAAAAGAATCTGATAGCATTTCCTGCACAGAGTAATTTTTAAGCAATGTGGGAGGGAGGCAGTGTGAAATTTGGAATAAAAACCTCCCTTTCTTACAGTAAGATAGGCCTCTGAGCACAGCACTGAAATCCCAAGCATAGAGCACTTCAAAAAATTGTACATAATCGATCTGAAAGTTAACATTTTTTCCCTAAAGACCCCAAACACCATTTTAAGTTTTGAAATATCAAGAAGTGTCATCTCTGCCTTTCACCTCATGAACAGCCTCTAAGACTCTTCCCTGAGTTCTGATGCTTCCTTTGAAAGGCTGAATGGACTCTATTAAAAAAAGCTCTTTGCTAAAAAGTTAGTTACTGAAGTTAAAGAGATGTGAGATGTTGGAAGGAAAAGTGCCTTAAGTTTAAACAGCAGCTAAAGTTACTTTGTTTCAGTTACTGAGATCTTGCTGTCAGGAAGTGTATAAGAAAAGAGTAGCACACAGCATCATATAGCTTTCAGTGCTGAAGTCCACAAACACAGAACCCATGCTATCTTAATAAAGAAGCCTTCTTCCTCTTCTTTCCTAATCACATTTAAGAAATAAAAGGAAGCTGCCTATTTCTTCTTTTGTGTGTCACCTTTAACACTGTAGGTGCAAGCAATTCTGACGCTGTTCATTCTGTGAAAGCACAATTATAAAGAAACATCATGTTATCACATAACCACAAAAACATTTCTGAATCTTTTAATATGTACATACCAGACAACAGTTTAGATGATCTCCATATACCAGTTAAAGAATAGGATGTGCTTGTACACCACTCTGAAGACTGTTCCCATCTATAGTAGCAATGCATATACAATACAATCACAGAATCATAGAATGGTATAGGGTGGAATGGACCTTAAAGCTCATCTAGTTCCAACCCCCCTGCCATCAGCAGGGACACCTTCCACTAGACCAGATTGCTCAAAGCCTCATCCAACCTGGCCTTGAACACTTCCAGGGAGGGGGCAGCCACAGCTTCTCTGGGCAACTTGTACCAGTGTCTCACCACCCTCACAGTAAAGAATTTCTTCCCAATATCTAATCTAAACCTATCCTCTTCCAGTTTAAAGCCATGTACACTTACATTTTCCAATATTAAAAAAAGCAGAACATGGGGTGGTAAAGGTTGAGAGAAATACTTTAGTTACACCATTTCATACCAGCTTAAAAAAACACCTTGAATTAGTTGTTTGGTTTGTTTGTTGGGTTTTTTGGTTGGTTTTGAGGTTGGTTTTTTTCCTTTTATTATTTTTGACACGTTTCTTGATGAAACTCAGTTTGAAAAATAACTTACAGTGAGAGAAGAAAGACAACTGTTCCTTCCAGGTTAACCACAACAGCCAGAGTCCTCCAGGAACGAATGAAGTAGCCTAATAAGGCATACTGGGCAATTCCCACAGCAAAGAACAAGCCTCCAATTGATCCTAATATACAATTAAAACCAAAACAAAATATTATCACTCCTTTCAGGAACATTATTAACTCTCAACACATGGGATCAGGTAGAAACTAGCACTTAATTAAGAAAAATTCACTCAGGTATACAGGCAAAACCACAGCTATTTGACCAAAGAACATTCTGCTCTTCACCCATGTAGGGCAGAAGTATTACATCTAATTGCAAACATCAATATAAGTCCAAAAAGCACCATTCTACATCCTCCTCACCCAAAGCCCCATAAACAACTAAGTCTTGTAATTCCAAATATAAGTATGTTTCAGCTTTCTATGCTTAAAAATAAACACTACAATACACTGGAAAACAGGTATTTTTAGGAATACATAGTATGCATTTGTAGCTCATGATTTGTAAGATATCTTGTTTTAAAACAGTCTCAGCATAGTACTACTTTGGCACTCATCACAGACTGGGTAAGTCAGGCCCCAGAGCTGTAGTGGTACAATTTATGTGCATCGTATCTGAAGAATAGCTTCAACACTAGCAACCAGTGCTGAAGACAGTTAGGGTGTCTGTATCTTTTGTTTCAAGTTCTAAGGTTGGTTACCACATGGGACACTTTTTTTTTAGCATATAAACAATAGTTGTCTGATCTTCCCATTACATAAAAACACTTCTGATTTCTTTTTGAGAACTTCCAGGAATGAAAGAATTTATATTCAGTAAAAAAACACTAAGCTCTCTTTAGCAGAGTTCAAAATTATGATGGATAGAGCTCAGCTATCACAATCCTTGGACGAGTATTTAGTTGTGTAACATCCACAGAGGATGTTTCAACTAGACTTTTGTCAATTTGAGTGATGCAGAAATCTGAATGGCCCCAAGTCATCTACTGTGCTTGTCTAAGGTTCATATGAAACAAAGCAGGACTCAGACTGAGGTTACACATATCCCCAAGCAGAGTTAAACTGACAGACTGCTATGGTGTCAGCTTTGGTGTGTCTCAAGTGGTATGTGAGACTGAAATCTTCATATTCTGACCATAAAGATACTGACACTCAAACTTTACCTGCTAATGCCCAGTAGGCAGTACCCACACACTCATTCAATAGAACAAAGGCCACCAGTGACATCCCACCATTCATCATCCCTACCAAGAAGCGAGAGATGGCAAAGAATTCATATGAGGGTGAGAATCCATTTGCAATGGCAAACAAGATGTCAAGGGCAAAACCTGGAAAACAAGGCAAAAGGTTTCATTTCAGAAGAGTACCTAAAGGAAAACAGAAGCATTTATCAGTATCTTTACTTGATGTTCAGCAGCATCTGTCCCAAGTAATCACAGTCAACTACAACACACTGCTATATACCACAGGTCTGGGCACAAATTTAAATACCTAAAGTCAATACCATGAAAGAGATGATACAAAAGAAGTGGATCCTGATACATAATTTGCATTTTTATATTTATAAATATAATATAAATTTAATTATAAATATAAATTTAAAACACACACCACATATATATATATAACTTTATAGATA